AAACTGGGCTGGTAGAGTTTGAATTGGATTTAAAGATTGAATCCCAATCACAAGAAGGAATTAGGATCGATCAGAAACTCCTATAATCAATCCCTATAAATAAACGCTGGAACACACATGAAGCACACACATAACAAAAAAGAGAACGTTGAAACATAGAGTAAAAAATTAAAAATAGAAAGAAGAGAGCAGAAAATCAAAAGTAAAAAAGAGAACAGATAGATCAGAAACACAGCAAGCAGAGAGAAGAAATATTTTGAAGTTTTGTTAAAGAGGAAAAAAAAATTTTTGGAAATATTCTGAAAATTTTTCAGATCCCGACGAAATTTTTTTACGTCAGTGGAATTTTTCGATGAGTTTTCCTACATTAGTTGAATTTTTTGGTGAACTTTCGACGATCTAACCTAGATTCCGACGATAATTTCCAAAATTCGATTGATATTCAATCAATGTTCATCCGGGTAAAGAGAAAAGGGAGATAAAAGAAGAGGGAAAAGAAAGAAGGGGAAGGGAAGATCTAAAATAGCAATTTAGAGTTTTATAAGGCCCTAAAACGATGTCGTTTTGGAGTTAAGTGACTACCAAAGATCCGCGCATTCCCATTCGGGTGACCCGACCCGTAGCGCAACCCGCTTTTAACCCGCACCTCAGCCAATCTTTTCAGCCAAGCAAAGCCTCCAAGCCGTATCATCCAAGCTGTTGTTTGTGCTTGGAGTCAAGCCGCATCAAATTTCCAGCCGAATTTTTTTTATGGTATTTTTTTATTTTATTATGTGTTTGTTTATTTTTAGTAGTATTTTTTCATGAATAAATTTTAAAAAAAAAGAAAAAAATATAAAATAGAATTTTTAAAATGCATTTTTTAGGAAAAGTTGAAAGTATCAATTTTCTTTAAAAATAAATTTTTAAAAAAATATTTTTGAGGAAAAGTTGAAAGTATCAATTTTTTTCGAAAATAAAATTTCTAAAAAATATTTTTTAAGAAAAGTTGAAATGATCAATTTCCCTTAAAAATAAAATTTCAAAAAAATATATTTTGAGGAAAAGTGAAAAGTATCAATTTTTCTTAAAAATAAATTTTTAAAAAAATATATTTTGAGGAAAAGTTGAAAGTATCAATTTTTCTTGAAAATAAATTTTTTCAAAAAAATATTTTTGAGAAAAAGTTGAAAGTATCAATTTTCCTTGAAAATAAATTTTTTAAAAAAATATTTTTGAGGAAAAGTTGAAAGTATCAATTTTTCTTGAAAATAAAATTTTTTTAAAAATATTTTTGAAAAAAAATTAAAAATATCAATTTTTCTTGTATAAAAGCATAAGTTTTTTTTATAAAACAAACAAAAAAAATCTATATCAATCATCATTTCTTACTCATTTTGCCTTTTTTTTTCTCCAAAATTTTTTTTAATGTTAAATAATCCGACAATGGGAGCCTCTGCAAGTAAAACAGTAGTTTTCTTGTAGACTCTTGAGGTAAGAGAATTTTCTTAATTTTCTGTCAAAAGTATTGAAGTCAATTAAGGATAATTTTTAATAATTAATTACTTGGTAATTTTTAAGACATATTGAATAACACGAAATTGAGCTGGTACCATCTTTCGATATGCGTTATGAGGGTGCTATAACCTTTCTCACATGTAACCATACTCCCAGACCTAGTTCTGGTTTCGTAGACATTGAATTTACCTTTTAGAGATCTCTAAGTCGAACTTAAGATTCCTCTTTAAAATGGATAGATTTAATTAGATGGTCAATCGTACCTAAACAAAAAAGATTGGTAACGACTTTTTAAGTTAATGTCCAGCGATAAGTCCTCGGATTTAAACGTTATAATAGTAATTGATAGTTATAACATGTCCTATATGCATTAGTATAATTTTTTTTATTTGAAAAAAAAAGAATTGGAATCTTATTATTCTTTGAGCAGAAGATCATGCATCAATTATTGAATCAAATACTTAAATATATGATATGATAGTATAATTTTATATAATATATATTATATATTTCAACCTTAAACTGATTTTTATCGAATTTTAATTAGTATGAATTTACTTTTTAATGATTTGCTATTGCCTTATTTTGTAATTTTTGAAAAAAAAATGTAAATTTTGTAAACCTAACAATTATTTAAATGGAACATGTAATAATATTCTATATAAATATTCTCTAAAATTTACCATAGAAAGTTTTGATCTTTTGATAAAATGTTGGACTCTTAATTTTAGTAATTAAAATTCAATTGCTAAAGTTTTCAAGTAAAAAAATTTTAAAAATTAAAAAGATATTACTATCATCAATTATTATTACCATATGATAGAATTTGGCTTTTTTGTAAAAACAAAAAGCAAGGTGTCAATTGTGTGAAAAGAGAATCTTGAAAATTTGTTGTCTCAAATGTTAAAGAATTATTGGCAAAATTGCATGTCCAATGCTTCTCTTTTTTGATCTATTGATTGAATTACATAAGGGAATTGAAGTAGCTGTATTATCTTACATGACTTTATCTGCTTATTCACTTGCATGTTTGACTAATTAGAATAATTTTGTAATTATTTGGGCTAATTTTTGACAAAAAAACTAAGATTATGTCCTCAACAAAATCTTGTCTGGTGGTCACCCTTTGCAATCTTCTATCCTATTTGACAAAACACAAAGGGCTTTCTCTTGTTTCCACTTTATAGTTCTTAAGAAAATTCATGTACACATAATGCTTCCATGTCGACCATGTTTTCCTTCATTAATTTTTTGTTTTTGGGGAAAGGGTATTTGAATTAATACAGGATTTTCTTCCTTTGTTTGAAAAAAAAAATCAAATTTTATTCTTTAAACACTAAATTATACATTAATTGATGAAGTTTATTGATCCAATATGAATTCAACTTTGAACAAAGAATAGATGCATTTAAATTTAAAGTTTGGTTTAGTTAATTCATTTAACTTTTTTTAAGAAATTATTTGTATATGTACGATTCAAATTTTAGTATTTATAATTATTATTTTATTCTATAATTGTGACTTTTTTATATAAAAAAAATTAAATCAAATATTCGAATTACTCATTAATGTCCTTAATTACGTTTAAATTTAAGAGAAATCCTTAAGAAATGTTATATATATATATATATATATATATAGAAATAAACACTTTTTTTTTCATTTCTTTTGACTTTGTTGGATTTTTTTTTTTTTTGGTCACTTCCACAGTCAGATGATCTCTTTAATAATCAACAATAATGTTAAAACAACAGCCAAAAATGGATCAATCAAAGTACAGGCAAACTTTTTATTCTTGTCGAATTAGGTCGTCCCCAAGAGCAAACTGACATTTGTCTATTTGATTCCATTGAACACTTAACAATGTTTTGCCTTTATCATACAATTCATACATGCATCTTTGTCCAACTTGCCATCTAAGAACAAGTAGGGAATTGAATTCGAAGCCAAAGAGCTATACTGATTATAAAACATATCTACAAAATTTTTTTTTGAACTTTCCTGAATGCGTTTGGGATGAAATTTGAAACAAAACCAATAAGCAATCTCAGGCTGAGCTTCCTTTTATCCTTTTATTATCTTTAGAACTCCAGGTACCCAATACTGAAGGGTATTTAGAACAAGTACACTGGGACCATGATCTGAGCAATTGTCTGCGTTTGAGGCTCATGGGATGTCTGATTCTGACCAGAAGAAATGTATCTGTAAAAGCATATGGATCGATATCATGGAGTGTTTAATTTTTAACCATTGAAACTCCATGAAAAAAACATTTCTCTGCAAGCTTCCTGGAGAACAATAGCATGGTCCCCTTCACACGGTACAATTCCAACAGGATTACTTGAAATTAGGCGTTCAGGATTAAGGCCAGATGCAGCTAGGCTACTAAGGGCTAGCTTAGAATTGCAATTGGCTCTCTGTCTCTGGGGTGTGAGTCTTGGTTCAATAAGCAGTCTTATTGCAGCCTAAACTTAAGGTTAGACCAAACCAACCTTTTGCCATTTTTGTCATTGGCAGGGCTAGACTGGGGCTGCAGTGGGTTCTTGAACCACAGAAACCAGACTCATTAGGACAATAGGAGTTGCAAACTAATTAATTAAGTGTTTGGGCTTTAGACCGTGCTATGCCAATTTTAGTGCATCTTTCACAGTAGGTGAGTGGAGAACATGAGAAATGCTAACAACCATATTGAATCAAAGAGCATTTTGACTTTTTCCAGGATATTTTTAGACTGAAATAGACATAAAAAAGATGACAAATCCTTACGGGAAGATCAGTCTTTTGCTGCAAGATGGGCTTAATTTGTTGAGCAATGAAATCCTAATGGAGAACGAAAAATGATGAGAGATTCATTTAACAGTACAGTGTTTTTGCTTGCAACATTCAATGCAGCAGACAATGGCCATGGAAAAGAATTGACTGCTGGTGGATTAATTGCGAAGGAGACATAACACTGAGCATCCAAACTTTTGCTTCCTATATGTGCTGCCCCATGCCCATCCCTCCCGGATACTACACATGCAAGCACATGAAATCGGTGGAGACATCAACCTTGCAGTCAAGTATTTGACGGGTGATCATGAAATTTTTAGATAGGTGGTCCAATAGGACCAATTCCATGAAAATGAATTAACTCAATTATTCCTGTCATTCATTGAAAGGAGACTTGCTTGTAAAATAACATCAAGTTTTGGACCATTGAAACCGAAAGTGAGAGAGGCCATATTTGGGTCAAATAAGCAAGTGTTCCAGCAATTTCTGCAGGATGAAGGGGTTTGTTTTTGTTCCTCTATTTGTTGCAGCCCACAGGGGAAAGAAATTCTCTCGAGACATCAAACTAAGCCCATCCATGGTTAAATGGGTTTCTTTCGTAAACCAATGTCAGTCCATTAAGGAGTCAGTTTCGGACAATGGCTCAAGAACCAAACACTGCCTCAAATTCATCTGGGCCTCCAGTTTTGAAGAAAACAAAAATCTAATTACGTGGCGTTTAGCGTTTAGACAACTCATTTTGTTTTGTTAGCGTAAGAAAATCAATCTGGTTTTGCTTGTTCAGATCCATTCGTTTCCCATCAAATAAACTTTGGAAAGCCGGCATTTTTCCATTAATCGTCCCTCAAAAACCCATTTTATAATGAGAATTTTGAAGTTGGGTCTTTTACTAGCTTTATTCTCTGGGTTCACAGCCATTCTCATCTACATCAATGAATTCTTCAATCATGGTACGTATTTAACATAGAATTCTTTTGTAAATAAATTCTCTAACTTTTGGGTTTTTTTTTTTTTTTTGCCTTTTTCTTGTTTTAGATGAGAATCATCAATTGTCACGTGAAGATTGGGATGCATTGCAATCTCTGCAAAGTGGTTTCCAAAAGTGTGTGGTCAGTTTTTTTTCTTTTTTCTCTGGTTATTACTATAATTATTGCTTGTTAACTTCGATAATCTTAACTTGGGCACTGTCATTTTTTTTAGAAATGCGTTTAGGTGGTGGAATTCTTATTCAATTAATGTTTTTTAGTAATGAAAAATCTAGTTTGATTATGCTTTGTTTTTTTTTTTTTTTAATGGCTGAAGTTGGTGTATGATAATTCATACAGAGTGCAAATGGATTAGGTTTACAAGCTATAACGGGTAAAAATTATTGCCAAGTAACTCTATCCTATCCTAGTGATACTGACTCCAAATGGGTAGGTTTCTGTTTTAACAATTCTATGATTTTGTTTTTGTTTGCGTGTGATTAAGTTCTGTCACTCGAATTGCTGTTTGAAATTCTTATACGTAAACAGAGGGATCCAAAAACTGGAGAACTTGAAGGTTTATTATTTGAGTTTAATCTTTGTGAAGAAGTGGCCACATGGGAACAGGTGAGTTTGCTGATTTGTATCTGCATTTTGTTTTTAAGTTTTGCCTGTGTAATATCACTTGTTTAAGATTGTTTTATTTCTTTACGGTTGATTGCTTAGGTGAGGAATAGTACAACAATACTCACTAGGGAGTTCATTGATGCTTTACCAAATGGGTGGGAGGAGTATGCATGGCGCAGGATTAATAAAGGAATACTTCTGTGAGTACCTTTTTGCCGACTGAAATACGTTATTAGTTGCTTTTATGTAGTTTATGCATAATAAAATAAATAAGATTAAGAAGGGAATATAACGAAATTACTGATTATTTTTATAACATCCCTAAAGAAGGAGATATTTGATGTGCCATATTAATAGAATGTGTTGCTAAGATACGCTACAGCTGGGCAAAGTTTTATGGAGTCTGTTTTGGTATTGCAGGAACAACTGTAAAAACAAAGCTTTATGCGTGGAGAAGCTTTCACTTGTCCTCCCTGAAACACCACCTTATGTTCCAAGGCAGTTTGGTCGGTGTGCTGTTATAGGCAACTCAGGAGATCTTCTGAAAACAAGGTTTGGGAAGGAGATAGATAGCTATGATGTTGTCATTAGAGAGAATGGTGCCCCTATTGAGGTTAAGCTGCAGTCATAAAGCTTTTGCCTTTTTTAGTACTTGATTGTTCCTAATCATTTTCCTTACAATTTTTTCACATTTTAAATGTTCTATTATAGAACTATACAGAATATGTGGGCAAGAAAAGTTCATTTCGACTTCTTAATAGAGGATCTGCCAAAGCTCTTGATAAAGTTGTAGAGTTAGATGGTATTGACATTTTCCCACTTGTAGTTTACTTATTACACTTTCATAATTCTAAAAGCTTGCTAACTTTTTGGATTTTACAGAAACAAGGCAGGAGGTCTTGATAATCAAGACTACAATTCATGACATTATGAACCGGATGATTCGGGTTAGTATAATGTTTCCATCTAGTTCCTTTCTGTGGTTTTAATATTTTTCCAAACTAGTACTTCACGTTGAAACAGCTGTTGTATACAGAAACAGTAGTTTCTCTTGATATATGTCTATCTACCTATGATTTAACTTTGTTATTGGTTCAGAAATTGTTGTTCCTTGTGCCTGTGAATGTTTCCTCCTTCCTGTTAAAACTTTTGAAGTTTCTTATGCAAAATTGACTGCTCAACCACATTCACGATTTTTGAAATTCTATATCTAACTGTTATCTTAAGCATTTATGGCTGAAAAGTGACAGATGGAATTTGGGCAACATCCTCTTTTCACCTTTGCTGCCACTTTCTATTTTTTCTTCATTTGACATAAACTTCAAAGACTTTTCGTTGTTTTCTTTTGCAGGAAATTCCAATAAGAAATCCTGTATATCTCATGCTAGGTGCATCATTTGGTTCAGCTGCAAAAGGGACTGGGCTTAAGGCTCTTGAATTTGCTCTCTCTGTATGTGATTCAGTGGATATGTATGGTTTCACTGTGGATCCAGGTTATAAAGAATGGTACTGTTCCTTTTAACTATCTTTCTCTGCAACATAACAATTTAATCATGTTTACCTGACAAAGAAAACCTTCATAATGTTCTCCCAGGACTAGATATTTCTCAGAATCTCGGAAAGGCCATACACCTTTGCACGGCAGGGCTTACTACCAGTTGATAGAGTGTTTGGGTGTATGCTCTCTCCCTCTCGCTCTCTTATTGAAATCCTTAGTCATTGGAATTAATAATAAGAGAAGTTCTCCTTTCTGTGACTATTAATATGGAGAGACATACAATTTCTCTTTTCTTCATGATGCCACTGCAGTCCTGTCATAATTAGTATAGAGAAATCAATATCTTTGACAAATTTGTATCTGATCTTGTAAAGCTTATCAAAATCCATTCTCCTATTCGAGCTGATCCAAACCGAGTTGTGAAGTGGGTGCCAAGTCGTCGCACTATAAAAGCAGCTAGAATTGCATCAGAGAAATTGTTGAGGTAACTAATGTTTACTATTTCCTTTTTTCATATAGAATTAATAATGGGTGCTAAGTCAGAGGCCGAGTTGTAGAACATATGTTATTTCATACGGTCAATCACATGCAAAATTATTGGAAGGTTGAACCTAGAACTTAGCCCAATGATTAGGTTTTCAGAGTCTAGTAATACATATGACATGCTCATGGTTCTGGAGACATGCTTTTGGTAACAATCAATCATAGCTCTCAGGTGATGTTTGAGAATACCTGACCTGAGCTTAAGAAACTATAAAACAAAGATATTATTGCTCCTATTATTGGTTATTTGCTACTTAAGTCAGTTGTCCATCATGCAAGTTGCTTCTTAAACTTAATTTTCAGCTTTTATAAAAGCTATATTTTGTTCATTTGAAACACCTATTTGATTCATCATTGGCTTTTTGGAATAAAGAAACTGCTTAAAAGCTGCACAAAAAGGTACAAATAATCTTGTATGGTGTTAATACAGTTTTAGTGCATTGCAATTAGATCAATTTTAATATTATGGCAACTTCTTTATCCCAGATTAAAACTGTGTTCTTGAAGATGTAATAAATGCAATCTCTTACTATTTCTGTAGGAGGGTTGGGGCAGGATCTGAAGATCTGCTCGCTTCGTGCTCAATAGTAAAGAAGCAAGTTAAAAGGAAACATATGTCGGTCCCTAGGCTAAGAAAGGCTGCTGTTGACCATCAAAAATTTGTGAAAGGCACAACCATGTATCCGTTGGAGCACAGTTCCGGACATGGTCATCTTTGCACGGTGCCAGTTGATTGAATCCATGTAACCACGCTTGATCATACTCGCATGGAGGTAATTGGCAAAATCTTTGAAATAATTGCTTGATATGTTCACACACACACACACACACACTAAAGGATGAAAAACAGACGCCAATTGGGGCTACTCATGAAGCTGCTACAACCAGCATACTCATCTAAAAAGATTCATTTTTGCGAGCGAAAGGTTTCAGGCTGCATTGCCTTCTCAAGTACCCTTCATTCTAAAAGCAAGTGTAGATTAGAAAGTCAATTTTACAAAATTGTGTGGATTCATTGTTACCTTTTAAGTGCTAATAGGGTTCATGTCATACAAAACTCTTAAAGACGTACAGTTAACATTCTAGCAAGTCCATCATTGTCTTGCCCTTGGAGCCTATATAAATCATGGTGTAGGAAGACATTTTGGCTGTTGCTAGGTGCCTGAAACTTTTCCATGAAAGTCAACTGAAGCAAAGGTGTAAGCATCCATGGTTGACAACAGATTCACAATTTGGAGCATGAAACTTCTTGTGAGAATGTAAACAAAAAGTAGTAGTATATGTGGTGAGGAGCAGGTCGCTATGTGGGACAGCAGCTTTGTTCATTTGTAATGCAGGCAGCCATACCTTTTAAATGATTCAAATTGAAGGGTTTGAATTTCCAGGCATGTATCATGGCTAATTTGTAATGACATTCTATTGATTAGTCCATTGTTTCTTTACTCTTGATGACCTTTTTGGATGGATTTTGCTGAAATCTCATATGGGACAAACCATCTTGTCAATGTCCCCCATTTGGTTGACAATTTGAATCAGACTTTCTTCTAAACTTTGTGAGTGAAGAAGCTTCTCAATATTGGATGCATTTAGGTGACCATTATATTATTATTTCTGATGATGAGATATGTAAATGTGCTAAATATTGTATATATTTTTTAATTCGAAGTCGAATTAAAATAGAATTTAAATTAATTTATTTATATAATTAGTTTAAAGAAATGATATTAATCAATTTGAAAATTCATTGATTTTTGTATATCTTTTATAAGAAATTGAAAATTTTTTATTTACTTATTATTATTTACTATTTAAGATTGAAAAATAAGTAGAAAAAAGCAATAATATTTTTTTTAGATTTGTTTGAGGGTTGGGTTAATTGTTTAAGTTTAAAGGTTCATTTAAATTTTAAGAGAGTTTGGATAAAAAATTAAAATTTATTAAATTTTAAATTTGATTTTAAATAAAAAAATTAAAATTAAAATTTAATTCGATTTGATTTGAATAAAATATATAATTAAAATATCATAATTATATAAATATATATGTAAATTTTTATTTTATATTTTATTTAAAAATTAATTTTTATTATATAAATTAAATTTATTGAGTAAGTACGAAATTATTTTTTTTAATTTAATCGAGTTTTAAAATATTTTTAATCTAAAATATTAAATTAAATCAAACTTAAATAATTTATTAATATCAAATATGTTCCGACTTAATTGACCATGAAGACCTCCGAAGTTTTTCTATCATTGGAAGATTATTGCTTTCCTTTTTTATTTTTTTAAAGAAAAAAGAATGTATTATAAATTTGAGGTGAGAAACGGTTGAAGAAGGTAATCAAAGACGCAGATGTGAGCCTTCGTTCCCTTTCGGTAGGAACAGATGGACACGTGTCACTAACCCAACATCGCAATTCACAGTCTCTCCATCTCCACCCCTCTTCCTTTCCCTTGTCTTCACTGTCTCTCTTTCTCTCCAGCCAAGCGGCAAAGGCCAAAGCCCCTTTCTTTTATCACCACTTTTCCTCACTCTCTTCTCAAATAAGACAAACCCAGGAAAAAAAAACGAAGAAAAATAAACATGGCGGATATACAGCCATCAGACGGCCAATTGAACGGCGTGGGAGCACCCCTTGTGGTGCTTTCGTCTGAGACCGTTGGATCGAAACGCCAGAGACGTCCCAGCGTTCGATTAGGCGACATCGGCGGAGACCAACCCTACAATTCTCATATCCGAAGACCCTCCTCCTCTTCCGCAGCCGCATCCGCCGCCAGGCCATGGAAACACCAACCCCACCTTTCCTTGAATCACTCAGGCGCTGCTGCGAGTAGTAAATCGTCAAAAACTCGCGCCCTAACCAATCTCAGCACTGACTTCAACGCCAATAACGAAGCCCTCGATGAAGAGAGAGAAGCTAACAACAATAACAGCAATGTAGACGGTGTCGCAATTGGTAGCTGGAAAGTCAAAGATTTCAAGAAACGGGCCTCCGCCACGAAACGCGTCCGATCCAATTGGGTTTCCAAAATCGACGATTCCAGCGGCGGAAACATCAACACCAACGGCAACAATACCAACACTAACAACAATAACATGGAAACGGAGGAAAATTTCAGTGGCGGCGAAGATAACGATGATTTCGACATGGATAACTCCGAAAGTCCCATGAAAGAGCACAGCCCAACTCATTCTTTGGACAATTTGGGTGTCGATGGCAATGAAAGAGAAGTTCTTTATCATGGGAATAATCAAAGGAGGCCAATTCGGACACGGGTTTCGGATGGGGTGGAGTTATCTGGGCCATCAGATACCGACATAAGGCGCTGTGAGGAAGATGGGGTTAGGACATGGTTGAACAGTTTGGGGTTAGGAAGATACGCCCCTGTTTTCGAGATCCATGAAGTGGATGATGAGGTATTGCCTCTGTTGACATTGGAAGACTTGAAGGATATGGGAATAAATGCAGTTGGTTCCAGAAGGAAAATGTTTTGTGCGATTCAGAAGCTTGGTAAAGGCTTTTCATGACATATTTCATAATGGTTTTAGGGTTCTTGAAAGGAGAGTTTTACAACCATGGCAATGTAAGATTTGAGCCTTAATAGCTTTTCCATGTTTAACTTCTTTTTGGTGTAGTGAAAAGTAGGAGAATCAATAGGGTTTTTTTGTTAGTGTTTTTATATGAATTTTAATCTGGTGCTAATTTTTTTGCATTGCATTGTGCTTATGGTGCTAGTGCTAACTATTGTTGAGAACTTTAATGGAAAACGATGAGAAAATATCATCTTTTCTTTTGGTTAAAGGAAAGTGCTTAACAAAATAAGGCAATTTCAATCATATTCTTATGGTTTTCTTGTTCTTCTTGGTTATGAAGTGGAATATAATCTTACAATTAGATACTACAGAAGTACTTTGTACGGTGATTACCGTGGCATATTCATACTTAAGGTTGTGATATCAAGGAATGAAGCAATTACTCAAGAAGTGTTTCTTTACTCTGTTTATTGAAGGTTCTGTATTTAAGAAGTTGTTTCCTCTTGAAACTGCTTATTTTGAATTTGCTATTGACTGGCTATGGATATTTTTGTGCTCATCTGTAAATTTTCTGCTCCTAATCTCCTTGGGAATATATGTATTCACATCTCAAGTACTTTAACCTAGTCATCTAGAACTTCCCTCTCACCATGCAAATTGTGTTTTAGGATCATTAACTATGTTTGAATTTCTGTTTGCCTTAGTTGCCTTGTTTTTTGATGGTTACGTAAATCTTTAGTTGGCAAGTAGACAACTACTGCTACTCACCTGAGGCATAATTCCCATTGTTTGAGCATTCTTGTAGGTTAGGCTTTTATCATACAGTATCTTGTGTTAATATGCATAACACATCTTAACTTTCTATAGACTAAAATTCCAAGACATCATAGCTTTCTGTAGCCTAAAATTCTATGAAATGGATATGTGATTCTAGTTTAACCTTTATAATTTTTTCTTTTCTTTTTTCCTGGGCACACCATGGTAATAAATGTGATTGTAAAACAGTGATAGTCCGAGAAAAAGGTTGGAGACATTATATATACTACTTGAGTTGGGTGCTAACATTTTTTTTTTTGGGCATTCCTAGAGTCCTTTACATTAATTAAGGTAGGTTACGATTTTGTCAAGTACATTCTGGTCTGTAAAGAATTTGGCTCGACGAAGACAAAAAAAAGGAAAAAACAAACAAATAAACAAAATAGGAGCTGTTGCAGGAAGGATTACACTTCCGAGTGCTTCTTTCACAAATTTTGTTTGTCTTGCATTCATGAATTGATGATAGGTATTACTGAAGAGAAGAGTAACCTTGAAAAACTTGATCATTGTGGTCTTGTGAATATGTGCCAAATATTACGAAATCGTGTTTTAAACCATCCTTTTTGTGAGAAGAAATATAGAAACTCTAAAGGAAATCCAACTTTGTTTTCTGAAACTTCTTTTCTGCTTGATTATTGGTGATTTAACATGTATAGTTGTGTGAATTATTTCTGGACTTTTGCCTTTTTTCTGTCAAGTCCCCAACTTCTTTGGTTATCGTTCTTCTCTGTTGGTTTGTTTGCCATTGTGACCTATCTGGTCCTAGTGTAGGTTTTGTCAAACATATAGCTCATTTTTTAGCTTCATTTAAAGACAAAGCCACTTTTGCTGGATCTATTTTAGGAGCATTTGCATATTTTTTTTATTATATTACTTTTGGCATCTTTCACATCTTGATAGCCAATGGTCCATCTAGAACCGGGAATGAGATGCAGGGATGAATAGTGGTGGCCTTTTTTTTTTTTTTGGCGGCATATGTGAAAAACATGAATGAATAAGGATTATATGCTGACAGGAAATTGTCCATAAATCTCCGTCTTGGTGAGGACATTGTTAAAACTGGTTTCTGCACAGCGGTTTGGCTTGGCAAAGCAGTATAACTCCAATTCTACCCGATTACTATTGGGAACCAATGAATGGAGCACATCTGAGTCTGGCCAAAACATCAACCCTGCACTCATCGAAACACAGGAGAGGCCACGCATCTACATTCCCTAAGTCCTAACAAAATTTGCCTTTATTCATTTACATCCGACGAAGTTAAGTTCCTTCTTGTAGTCAGCCTTCTGCATGCAATGAAATTTGCTGTAAATTTGTTGGTGGGTAAAAAAAAATCATCTTGCAGATGATGGCTGTTGTTAGTTTGTTTAATGAAGCACTCTTATTCCCTTCAGTTACACTCTCATCGGTACTGCATTTTAGACAATATCCTTGATTTAGACATTGTTATGGTTCAGTTAACTTGATTCGTATTCGTGTCAGGAAAACGTTGTCATGTATCTTTTTCAGATATATTGGATGATAGAACGAGTAATGTATGATTAGTGGCATGCCGTCTAAAATGGATGACCTGCAGATGGGTGGGAAAAAGTCAGTGATAGCCCCAAATCTTTGAGTGTCTGGTGATGCCTGTTTTTGTTGTCGTGAGGTCTCCTATTTCTGGATCAAAGATGAAATTCTTGTTGAACCCAAGAAGATCATGCCAAAAACACAATAAAACACATAGGAACGAACCTTAGGATGCTGAGGCAATTGGTTCTACAAACTTCCCTGATTTTCAGAGAGAGAATACAATAATCAAACAAGTGACTGATGAAGAATCGCTAGTTAAATCAAACCTAAAATTCCGGCTATCCACTCCGCCAGTTTTCAAAACTTTTCACTCCAACTTGATTGTGCGTTTCCCCTCCTGCTGCTGCTTCTTAGGCTCTGCAGGGAAGTATTTTATGCCCACCAAATCGCCGACCTGACTGATAACCTGTCGTCATAAAGAAAGAAAAAAACCATCACATTCTGCAGACTATTTGATCACTCGAATAGCGATTTGTAGTCTGCATTATAACCAAGAAAATCAATTAGGGCAGAAGGAAGACGATCCAGTAATTACCTCCAAGGCTTTAATAAGGTCTTCCTTGGTATGTGAGGCAGATATGCAAATACGTGCTCTAGCCAAAAGTAGTGGGGTGGCAGGGAAAGCAACTGTAACAACAGCAACCTGTTACAGCAGGATTACATTTGCAATAACTGGTCAGTACACACTGGACAGAGAGATACATGCACTGGGAAAATAGAGATAATGAATGGCAGAAGTAAAATGTGAAAATAAGGATGGCAGATATTTCAATGTGAAAATAAGGTTAATGACTGATGAGCAGCTGAAATTGGCTTAAACTCACATTTTGTTTGAGGCACTCTCGGGAAAATGCAGGGATTTTAGCTGGATTGTAAAGCATTATAGGCATTACAGGAGAATCATTGTCTCCAAGGACCTCAAAACCCATCTTTTGCAGCTCTGACCTGAAAAAGTTGCTATTTTCACGTATCCTTGCAAGCTTTTGAGCCCCTAAATTAACACAAAAAGCCTCATCAAGTCAACACAAAAAGAAATGATGATCCAAATGAGAAATCCCAATGGAAGTTCAGCGGTCTTAGAAGGAGAAAACGTGATGCTCCTACCTCTGCTAGAACCATCCTCTCCAAGAATAACCTTTATTGAAGATATAATTTGCTGTGCAGCTGGTGGTGATATTGCTGTTGCATATAGATGAGCAGGACAAGTGAACTTGAGATACTGTATAAGTTCCTGAGATTGACATGGGAACAAGTTAGTTATAAGATTTGTAGAACCCATTTCAATGATCAACAGAACCAAGCTCAACTGTCCAAGGTGACTTTAAAAGATCCAGAGAAGTTAGCAATTAGAAAAAGCGGCAAACCTTGGATCCAGCAATATAACCACCACAAGAGCCAAAAGATTTTGTAAAAGTTCCCATCATGATATCCACATCAGTAGTGTCCACTCCTAAGAGTTCACATACTCCTCTTCCCGTTTTTCCAACCGCCCCAATGCTGTGAGCCTCATCCAAATAAACATATGCCTGAAACAAATGGGAAACAAACATGCAATTTTCAGTTGAACAAATCAAGGATGATGGCTGAAGATTATAGAAATTGTCGGAAAATCTTAAAAATGGAGGAAATAGCTAGAAACAAGATATACATAGCATTCATGTTTATTGGTTAAGGTAACTCAACCTCTTTTACTTTCTAGAAGTTAAAAAGCAGTTATAAATTATAAAATTTCTTTTCTTTCTTTTTTTTCCAATTATTACTTGATCATTAACCAAGTGCCAAAAAGAAAAAAACATGAGCAGATTACTTTAAGGACAAGCCAGAATGAATTATAATGAGAAAATGGTCATTATGTTAACTGCATCACCTTATACTTCTTGCATATTGCAACAATCTCAGGGAGTTTACAAATTTCGCCTTCCATACTATAAATACCCTCCACAACAACAATTATCTTCTTCCATGGTCTATGTGTCCTGGGCTGTCCCTCAGCAATTTGTTCTCTCAGAACTTTCTCCAAATGAGATGGAGCTAAAATAAAAATCGAAAAAGGGGTTTATTTTATCAGCGTAATGAAATGCCAAGAATTAGTTAAGTTTCAAATACCGCATACAACTTACTATTATGTTGAAAAACTCGGACAGTAGCTCCTGAGCCTCGAGCGCCATTGACAATTGAGTTGTGGTTTAATGAATCACTAATAATCAACCCTCCCTATGGATATATGTAAAGAAAAATGATAATGACAATAATCAGAGAGCAATGACAAAAAGAAAGTTTAGATACAAACTTTTTACAGAAAGAACACCCATGCTAACATTGTGTTCATACCTTTCCAATTAGGACAGGAAGGACAGCAGAGTTTGTCACATAGCCCATGCCAAAGACTATAGCAGCTGGCTTCCCAACAAAGTTTGCAACACGCTCCTCCAGTTCTTTATGCACTATCGTAGTTCCTGATGGGGGAAAATAAAGGAGGAGATTTCATATAACTGGGTATGCAATCAGAGGGACTACAATGCAGAATTAAAAAGTATACCTCCATCAACACGAGTACTACAGGTACTGGCTGAAAATTTATTTAATGAATCAATTACACGGGGTGTGCAATATTCATCAGATGCAGCAAAGCCAAGATAATTGTATGATCCCAAGTTAAGACACCTATTTATCTTGTCAGTTCGCCTGTAAGAGATGCAGATCAAGAAAATTAATCAACATAAGCTTGTGACATCATATTTAGCAATCAAGCTTTTTATCTCAACCATTCACCTAACAAGCGAACAATTATTAGATGCCTAATTTTCTATACATATTGTACAAATGCAATAACAAAAAGAAGTCAGAATATACAGCAAATTATCATAGAATAAAAAAATCAAGCTTATAATAGGATTGAGAAGCAAAAGCATAACAGTGGACTCACTTCAATGTTTTATTATTGTCATTGGAGTAGCGCTCAACTACGTGAAACCAAGCATCAGGAGCACTTGATATCGGTCTTCCAAAACAATCCTAGAGGGGTGAAAACGTAGGACATGTTAGCAGCATTATTACTCAACCGACTGTCATGAACAAATTTCATAAGAAAACAACCGAAATGAATCATCCAGTTAGGATCAAGGTTGCAAAGAGGCAGTTTGAGATCAAAATTGAGCTACTTTGTCTTCAACAATTTAAAAAGAACAATAAATAAGTTCCAAGCAAAATGGACCAAAATTTGAGATTAGCAACCGAACTTTAGATTCTAGCATTAATTTTCTCGAGTGAAATTATATCTATTACAGCTAGACCTGGCAATTTAAACATGACATGGTGAAATGATACAAATAAAAAACATGAAGATGATACGGTTTAAAATTTTAACAAAATCCATATATGAGCTTAACAAAACAAAAAAAAAAATTATTTTATATTTCCGTCTAGACAACGAATTGTTACACGTAATTTTGGTATAAAACACAGAACCAATACACTAATTATTAATATTTTTCATGATATGAATATACGAATTGTCAGGTCTAATTGCAGCTTAATTTGATAATTGACTTCTGACAAAGAATTTCCAGTAAAATTGCATAAAAGAAAATTAAATAAATCAAGAAATTAATGAAGAAAAAGAAAGCACCTGAATGCGAAGATACAAGCGTCGAGTATAGAAATCTTCAAGTCCTAAACAGATCGGAGCATAACCCTAACACAATCCAAAAAACAAACAAATCATCACGCAACTGACTTCAATCTACGCATTTTTCAACCAAAATATATTCTAATAATGGCGATTCTATTATAAAAATTAAAAAAAAAAAAAGAAGAAGAAGAAGAAGAACCTGGAGATTGCTGGCGTGCCACCAATCGAAGATTTTCCTGAAGAAATCACGGAATTGGCCAAACGCGAAGAGAAGGCCATAGCTGAAGTACGTGGACAAAGCAGTCAAATACGGGATTGTGATCATTTTTTCTTGTCCAAGCTTTCGATCTCTCTGTCTCTTTTCTCTTTATTTCTCTTCAGTTAAATCGTGAAATCGAGATCTGGAATTGAGATTTTTAAAGATTTTGTTCTTTTTTGCTTGGAATGAGAGAGAAAAAGAGATCAGAGAGAGAGATTCAAAAACTAACTCAGGAGAGAGAATGGGAATGACCAATCTCTCTTCTATGGTTTTTATTTTCAACTTTAAAATAAAAAGAAAAAAGGATTTTGAATTTTGACTTCTGGGTTTGAGAAATGGAAAATTCCTTTGTTCCTGTAGAAAACGAGGAAAAATCGCCGCAAGAGGGATTTCTGTGGGTATATATATCTAAATGGGCTTAGGTTAATTAAATTCTAACCAAAGCCCAATTACTTAAATAAACTAAAAGGGCTGGGCTAGAATTTGTGAAATTTTTTATTTAAAATAAATTAATGAAAATTTGAATAAAAAATTTAATTTTATAGATAGATAGAGTTCAACAAAAATATCAATTATTTGTAAAAAAATTAAAAAATATAGTTTATAATTTAAATTTAATCAAATTTTATTTAAGGGTAAGAAATTTTTCAAAATTTTTAAAAGAAATCTTATATAAAAAATATATCAAACTTTATTATTTTTTTCAAAATTTTCACTAGATATAACAAGACCTTTTATTCTCAAAATTAACTGTTGGTTAACCAAGAAAGAAATTCTTTCTTTGGCCAACAGCTGGACTAATCCATAAAGATGGACTTTCCCCACTTAAGAGCTGAGCTGTCAAAACTTAAGTTGTTTATCCTGAGGTGAAAAAAAATTAAAAATCGATTTGAAATTATAATATTTAATTCGATTTAAATTGATTTTGTTTTTATTTTATTATAATTAAGTTCGATATTAAATAAAATTTAAATTTTATATTAAAATATAAAAAATAAAAAAAATCGAATTGAATTTAATTATATTTTTTATTGGTTTTTATATATTTTTTAAATTCTTATTAAATAAAAATAATTATTTTATATATAAATCTATTTTATGTTAAAAATTTTATTAAAATAATATATAAAATTTAAAATTTAAAAATTTATAAACCAAATTAAATTAAATTAATAGAATTTGATTTGAATCGATTTTTTAAAAATTTAAATTTAAATTTAAATTTTTATAATATTATATATTATTTAAAAATTTTAAATTAAATCCGATTCAACCATTATCCCCCCTATCATAAACATGATTTTTCCGGCTTAAAGTGTCAAAACTTAAGTTGTTCATCATTTTGGGCTTAGGAAGAAATGAAGAGACGAGTTTTATGATAATTGATCTGATTGCTTAGATGAAGGGAACAACAAGGTTTTGACTTTTGACCTCTACAAAAGTGGGCTCTTGTTGGGCCAATTGGGAAACCTAGGCGCTCCTTCAAATTGGTGTTCTTTTCTTTTTCTTATATAATATTTTCCCTGCATAAAGACTGGCAAATAAGCAACATCAGCCCACCCCAAAGCCTCGTAGCCTGCCTATTATATAAATATCATTCCGTAATCATTGTACATCCGATCTATTGCCGACAGAGTCTGACTCGTTATAAAAAAAAAAAGAAGTAGCATTAACAACTTTCTTTGTTAAAATCAATTTGATTCACTTGATATGACAAAAAACCAACTCCCAACCTCTCCCCTCTCATTGCATCAAAATTTTATAATTCTTTTGCTTTTTGGTGAAAATAATTTTATAATTCTTTGTATTATAGGATAGAATATTATGGCGACGTGTGGTGATGATATGGGAGCTGTGAGTTTGACATGTGGCATTGCAAAAGAAAGATGAGAGTGAAATGCGGAAGTGGGCATGGTTTTTATATATTGTTTAAAAAATATAATCATTTTCTAATAAATTATAATATTTTTAAATTTGAATCTTGGTTTTTTATAATTTTTAATCCTATTAAATCTATTTTTAAATGACGACAATTTTATATATAAAAAAGATATACACATCTAAAATACAAGTGAAAGAAAAAAATTTAATAATACAAGTAAAAGTCAAACTTGATATCTCTTCTTTTATACATTGAAAGTTATAAATTATTAAAAAAAAAAATTTAGAATAAATCGATCCGTTACCAACTTTAATAGTAAACAACTTATGGAAACCAAATTCTTTATTATTCAACCAATGTTTTTGCGTATGTTAATGCAAATAATTGCAATTAAAATAATAATAACTTATAAATAATTATAGATCATTATTAAAATAGCAGTTAAATTATAAACGTCAATGAACCTCTAAATCGTAATCTAGCATGCTTTTAAGTTTGTATCAAAATTTTTTAATTTCATGAGAATTTAATATTGATTTTTAAAAAATGGACTAGAAAATCTCAACCATGCAAAAGCCTAGTTGGCATCTTGAGCAAGATACATTTGTTTTTGCTATATCTCTAGCTTAAGAAGATGGTGAGCAATTTTCACTAGTTGAATAAAATAATTCTCTAAGATTTGATGATTTTTTTTTATATAAATGTACTAGCACTAATCCTTGTTCTTTGTTTTCTTCCATAAAAGCCAAAATTTCTAACTTCATCAACTTTTTTAATATCTATTTTAAGATCTATCTAATCAATTTAAAACTTTTTTGTATGTTATTAACCATAAGTTTTTATATTATTGACAAATTTGTAAATGTGGTTGTTGCCTTGTTGTGCAAAGGAAAAGACTAACACATAATAAATATTAACCATATATTTGAACATGAAAACTATTATTTTTATTAATATGAAATTTAATCAAATTAGCTCATATAATTGTCCTTATAAAATAGCATTTAATAGATATGAAATTTAAATTTCAGTAAACTTGATGATTCATGTATTTGTGTCATATAAAATATTAAAATTCGTGTATTTATATCATATTTTATATAAAAATTACGTGTCATAATTTGTGTTGATATAAAAATATAAAATATATATTTTGATTTTATTAAATATATATAATTATTACTAAAATTTTAAATCGTATCATTTTCATATTTATTTTTGATATCATTTTCATATTATATTACTGTATTATATTTTAAATTATCAAATATAAATTTCAACACATACAATCATTTTTTATCCCAAACCGTAATCTATGTTGTAAAAAAAAATCATTTTATTTTTAGTTAGGATGAAAAATTATAATTATTCATAAAAAAATCTTATATATCGTTGGTAAAGTTTTTAAATTCCAACAACGAAATTAAAAAATTACCACATACTTTATAAGAATATTTAATATCATTAATAAATTTACATAATTAAAAACTAACATATAAATTATTTTAATTTCATTTGTAAAATTTAAAAACTCCAACAATTAAGCATAATATAATAGTTAATTATTTTGGGCAAATGAAGAATAAGTTTGGAGTTGCATTTCATTTCCAAAATAATTTTTTAATTGTAAATAATAGTTTCAAAAATTCCATTTTGAGATTTTAATTTATTGGCATACAAAATTCCAATTCTAATCCAAATACCACGCTAAACTTATAGGCTATAATCAACTACAATAGGGAGTGCTGTTCTGTGGTGAACTTGATATCAACGAGCCCAAGCCCATAAAAAATGTCAATGGGGACAACGAAAGCTATGACTTGGCGAGGACCAAAGAAATCAGAAGGCAATCATCAATGAAGCTAAAAGTTGGTCAGACAATCTGACGATCATAAAGGGACTGTGAAGTGATGATTAAAGTTATTCTGTGCGAATAGAATTTGTTTAGAATGACAATGACGAGAGGAAAGATTCGTGAGAACTTTCGCTGTCCAAGCTGTCAATAATAATAAGATGGAGTATTATTGGTAAGGCTGGATCCCACCGCTTTAGAGGGAAGGTTTTTAGTTTCGTTAGGCATTTTTAAAATTTTTTTTTTAAAAATTTTTTTTACAGAATTTAATGAATTTATTAAAAATTATTTTTTAATATTTAAGTGAATTTCAATTCAAAATAATTAAGAGAAGAGCAAACTTTCTTACCACGACTATTTGAGGTAACATTTTTTCTCATATAGGTTTAAATAAATTTATTTATATCAAATTTAATAAATTAATAAAAATATTTTTTACAAATATTTTAATAAATTCAACTCAAAATAATTAGGATATAAACAAATGAATATATATTATTCTTTTATTTTAAAAGTATCTATATTTAGTTCACGCTTAATAAAAAATTTATTTATTACATTCAAATTTTATTTGTTTAAATAATAACATATTTACGTTCAATTTATATTTAATTAATTTAAATTAAATGAATTTATTTATAAATATTAAATAATTATATTTATAAATATATATAAAAAATATGCTTATAAATAATAAATATAATTATAAATTAAAACTAAATAAATAATAAATGAATTTTAAATATTTTAAATAAATTTATTTTTAAATATAAACGGTCAAATATATATTTTTTATTTGTACATTTACAACCTTACGAATAATTAATTAAAAAAAAACTCACTTATTCATCCCACCGCTTTTTACGTTGCCCTCTCAGCACTGTGATTCTGTTTCTCAGACCCTTCTCTATCTGTTCGGCTCAATTTCCAATCATCACAGAATTCTTACCCGTTTATCACCACCATTTTTTGTGCGTGTATTTCACACTCCAATCCGGCGTCTCTTGCTCTTTTTGACTTGGTCTTTTTGTGAGAAACGAAGGCTACTAAACAAAAATAAAATAAAATAATGTGGCAAAAAATATATAATAAAGTTAATTTCTCATTTAACATCTTTTGCTTCAACTTTTACTATCTAACAAAAGGAAAAACAATTTTTTCAGCCTAACGCAGGGACGGCTATAAATAATAATAATAATAATAATAATAAATCAATCAAATGTTAAATGTATAATGTATATATTATAAAATATTTAAAATAAATAAGCGAGTAAAGATGTTTACGATCGGATCATTAAGATAAATTTATTTACACATTAAAAAGTTTTGTTCAAACTCGAATTGAATTTATTTAATTTAAATTATTATTAAAATATTAAATATATTTTTTAATTTTAATTAAATAAAAATTAAGTATTTAATAATAAAATATTTTTATGAAAATCTTTTAATGGGCATATTTCTAATAAATAATGTATTTAAATAATTAAATAAAAAAGTATTTAATTTGGTTTCTATGTATTGGTTTGTGAAAAGGAAATGAATAACAATTAGCACTTGGTTCAAAATATATTAGTTTGAGCAAAAAAAATAACAAAGATAAATAATTATAGTTATAGTTATTTAAAGTTAATAATGATTACTACATTGAATGGACAATGATGAATCAAATTCAAAAATCTTCAATTCAATTATGGTAAACGTTTGCATTTTGAATCAAATAATTCAAATTCAAGATCATTGTTTGAACATTTAAATTAATATGCATTAATTTCACAATCCAACAAATACTCATCCATCCTTAATTATGTTATTTAAGGATGTATTTTGTGTATAATATTATGATAGATAATATTAATAAAATAAAATAATATTACATCGTATTATATTTGATTTGTGTAAAAATTAAAATAAAATAATTTTATTTATTAATCAAAATTAATAAATAAAATTATTTTTTTCAAAGTTTATATAATTTAAATTATTGATATATTTTTAAAAAATATAATAAGATATACAAGTTTGATCTCACAGATTAAAAATAATTTTTTATATTTTAAAAAGATTAAATTATCTTATATAAAAATAATTAATTTTCTTGTAATTTTATTATTTTTTAGATATAAATAAAATATAATATATGATAATTATTATCCTATTTTTTTATTATTTCATACAATAAATGACCTAAATTTCTTAATATAAACAAAAAAATTAATCTAAAGTGGTGAATTTAAGAAATGTTTACGAATCAAAATCATTAAGAATTTGAATTATATAATCATTTAAAAATGTAAACTTAATAAATTTAAAGCTCTAGTATTGATATTTATATATTTTTTATTTTAAGATGCTACAGTTTTTTATAAAAAATTATTCAAAATGTTTAATTAAATGTGACCCTTTAATATCTACTTATTATTTAGCCTATATCTAAAAAAAAAAAGAAGAATGTATGCGGGAATTTAATTTAATTGCCGGTGGGAGCCACAATTAATCTCATAATAATAATTATCCATCCATTCCAAATTCCAAATTCCAAATTGATAAGTTAAGTGCCGGTGAATTTCACGCTCCTGGGATTCGTCTGATAACCTCCCTTATATTACAGCATATCTCTAGGCGATGCCAGGACACTGCTTGCTCCGTCGTCTCTTTTCCCAACACTCTTCACTCTCTCACTAGAGTCATAGACTTTACCCTACGTGAAGGGAGCAAATAATCGCTCTGAGACGCCATGAAAGTACAGGAAAACGACGACTCAATTTCTCTTTCGAATCGTCTTTTGGTTTCCCTTTCGGAGCAAACCCAAAACATCAGCAACTTCAAAGGAAAATGGGCTTTGATCAAGTCAAAGCTTTCTGTTCTTAAGGCCCAACTCGCCGACTTCTCCGACTTTCCCGCTTCTTCCTCTAACCCTCTCGCCGTCGACCTCCTTCATTCCATCTCCCACACCTTGAACGACGCCGTCTTGCTTTCCCGGAAATGTCAAAGCGCCGTTTTGACCGAGGGAAAACTCAAGACTCAGAGCGACATCGACGTCGTTTTGGCTAAATTAGATCGACATATCAAAGATAGCGAGATTTTGATTCGGAGTGGGGTCCTCCAAGACGGCGCCGTTTCAACTTCTTCATCGAAGAAAGAAGCAGTACGAGTTGAGTCGAGGAACTTGATTACTCGGTTACAAATTGGAAACATCGAGTCGAAGAACTCAGCCATGGACTCGCTTTTAGGCTTACTCCAAGAGGACGACAAAAACGTGATGATAGCCGTGGCGCAGGGGGTGTTTCCCGTGCTCATGTGCTTACTGGATTCGAGCTCTTTAGAAATGAAAGAAAAGGCGGTTGCTGCCATTTCGAGTGTATCAACGGTGGAATCAAGCAAACACGTGTTGATCGCTGAAGGGCTGTTGCTTTTGAACCATCTGCTTCGAGTTATTGAATCAGGAAGCTGTTTCGCTAAGGAAAAAGCTTGCATTGCTTTACGAGCGTTAAGCTTTTCAAAAGAAAACGCCAGAGCAATTGGTTCCAGAGGTGGGATTTCGTCTCTTTTGGAGATTTGCCAAGCTGGCACTCCGGGCTCTCAAGCTTTTGCAGCCGGCGTTTTGAAAAATTTAGCTTCTTTTCATGAAATTAAAGAGAATTTTATTGAAGAAAACGCGGCTTTTGTTTTAATCAGGCTTGCTGCTTCGGGCACTGCCGTAGCACAAGAAAATTCAATTGGCTGTTTATGTAATTTGGTTTCTGATGATGAAACTTTGAAGCTTTTGACTGTTAAGGAAGGTGGAATTGAATGTTTGAAGAATTTCTGGGATTCATCTCCGAATCCAAAAACTCTTGAAGTTGCAGTCGAGTTAGTCAGGCATTTAGCTTCATGTCCCCTTATTGCAGAAGCTCTGGTTGCTGATGGTTTCGTTGCACGGCTCGTGGCTGTTCTAAACTGTGGGGTTTTAGGGGTAAGAATTGCGGCTGCTAGAGCTGTTTACGAGCTTGGGTTTAACTCGAAAACAAGGAAAGAAATGGGTGAATGTGGATGTACTGTAGCATTGATTAAAATGTTGGATGGGAAGGCTGTTGAAGAAAAAGAAGCTGCTGCAATGGCTTTGTCAACGCTCGTCTTGTACGCCGGTAACAGAAAGGTTTTCCAAAGGGATGAGAGAGGGATAATAAATGCTGTGCAGTTATTGGATCCTTTGATACAGAATTTGGATAAAAAATACCCTGTTTCGATCTTGTCAGAGCTTGTGCATTCTAAGAAATGTAGGAGGCAAATGGTTGCTGCTGGTGCTTGTGTGTACTTGCAGAAACTTCTGGAGATGAATGTTGAAGGGGCTAAAAAGCTGTTGGAGAATCTTGGTCGGAGTAAGATTTGGGGTGTTTTTGCCAGATCATAGCAATGGAAGATATCTACAAAATGGGGGACATGGAACTGTATGTAGAATAGTTGTGTTTTTACTTTGATTTCTTTTTCATTTCCTTGTTCATAGTGGATGTTGATTTACTTAGAATTAGAGTACATCTTTGTTAGTGTAATTGCTGATGGGAAAAACTCTTTGGAGTTTCAAGTTTGTAGAGACATGATCTTGGTTTGGTGACCTAATTAGGCTGGCGTTCAATTTTTAATTCAATGATTTCACAGCTATGTGTGAACTCATGGTTTTGTTTTTACTATTTTCTCGAGTTTTTATTGACTTCACAAAGGGGTTGTTGCTGATGACTAAGTCCTAACTGAATCAAGTGTATAATATTGATTCTGCTAGCCTAGGTCGCTTTCTTTTATAATTTCTTAGGCGTTTGATGCACATATTAACCATTTTCTGCCCATGTTGGATGCTCGGAAATTTCAACGAGGATTGGCATTAAGGGAACGGATATTATGTTTTTTCATTTGATATGGGGTAGCTTGTTTTCACTGCTAGGCATAGACCTTAATAGGTGACTTTGCTAATCAGTGCAGGTCAATTTCTTTATTTTACAAAGAGCTTGGTGAAACCTTTTACACAGCATTCTATTTGACCACTCTATGTTGATACCATACTTAGTTCCTTTTTCACCTTAAATGTTAAATCTAAGCATTACGTACGCAATGAACCACTTTGGGTTGTTTCTTTTCTAGTTTTCTTATTAATTTAAAATAAGTCCTAAACCATAAGTGCTAAAAAGATGATAACAACAACCATTGATTGTTTTGGTAGCCGGTGAAAGTGACGATGATGATGAGTCATGATTGTATTTCAAGTGCAAGTGTCACGGATCTAAAGAAGAGTCTTGAATCTCACATCGAACATAATAGAAGGATCACTGGGGTATAAAAGGGTTCACACCACCTCATCTTTATAAGATATCTTTTGTAGGATAAAATCGTGAGGTTAGGGGGGTCAAAGCAGACAATACCTCACAAGAGTGTGAACCGTGACAGTCAGGCTGATTCGAGACGCCGGAAGGGTGAATGCCCTGGTCCCGGAGTCGCGCGGGTTCGGAACTTAAGTCTCGACCCATGACAAGTGGTATTAGAGCCAGCCTTAAATTGTTCGATCTACGCCAAGCACCTCAAGGGAGGTAGGCAAGGTGGCCAGCTTTCGTGACGAGGGCGTCATGAGGTTGGGTGGGAGAAAATGTCACGGACCTAAGGAAAAGTCCTGAATCCCACATCGAACATAATATAAGGGTTACTGGGGTATAAAAGGGTTCACACCATCTCTTTCTTGTGAGGCGTTTTTTGTAAGACAAAATCTTGAGGCCAGGGGGGCCAGAACGGACAATACCTCATAAGGGGTGTGAACCGTGGTGGTCAGGCTGATCCGAGACGCCGGAAGGGTGAATGTCCGGGTTCTGGAGCCGTGCGAATTCGAAGCTTAAGTCTCGACCCGTGATACAAGAATCTGGCTACATTTGTTCTACTTTGGTCTGTGTCTATGTTCTCCAACCATTGCGAACTTCCTACTGATCCTTGCCCATACAGGCAAGCACTTCCTCTTTCCAGCTCTTCTAAATCTTCTGTTATCAATATTCTGGGGCGGCAGAAGGATCTGTTCGATCATTATCGATCTTTCTCATTCAATTCCTGTATATAACTTGTAAACTAGGTTATCACAATTATTTTGTAAAATAGTTATCACAATCATTTTGTAAAATAGTTTAGTTTACTTTTTATGTATGTCTGGCAGATGGTATAATCCATATACTGGCTGTGGGTCTCAACCACGTGCAGTTGTTCTTAACCATGTGCATTTGTTCTATGTTATTGCCGTTATAGCAATCTTCTTCTGGCTGTGTTACCTTCACAGGTAAGGACCTACCTAAACTTGTTTACAAATTGACTTAGACCATATATTAATATATTCTTATTGGAAAAGTGGTAAAGGAAGGGGTCGGGAAAGGTTGTGGAACCTGCTTGGTTGAAACCTTCCTGCCTATGGCAAAGGGACAAGGATATAAGACAGCTGTGTCTGGTGAAACCTTAGAATTTGGAGGATTCTTATATATATATTTTTTACTGAAATCTTGTTGAATAAGAAGAATTATCAATGCCGACTTTAAGGAAAGGAAGAATAAACAATCTTTGGGGACAAAGTAGAATAATCAAACGATGGGGGAAGCGAATGAACAGGCGTGCTTAGCTGTTCAAACTTAGAGATGAAGGATGAACAGGAAGCAAATGAACAGGCGTGATGCCTTGCCGTCTACACCATGTGGAAACGGATTGTTCAATATGGTTGGCGGAAACAAAAAAAAAGAAAGGGTGTTGAAGGAAGCTTTTCTTACATCTTACATTAGCAGGCAGGAGTTTTACAGCAAATTAAGACTTTGGAAAAGAGATTTTAAGTCTTAGTTGTGGCTCTTGTATTATTATATATATGAACTCAAGAGGAAGAGGACAAAAATATGCTTATTAAAAATGGAAATATTATGTAATTACTATATTAAAAATGAATTGAGGCTTAGGAATGATCTGTTTGCTAAGTGTTACTATAATTGGCTCCAAAGTTGAAAGTGAGTTGGATTCCTTTAGCCTTGGCAGCCCATTTATAGGCCTGCTTAATTCATTCCAGAAGCCCGCTCATTTCCGAGAAGAACAACAAATCCTGAGAAGTGAGTTTGATTGGATTTACTGCCTCCAGCATGCCTAACAGGTCATCCTCATTGGGGACCGTTCAAACTAGACACCAACTGCAACTCATTCCTCCCCCGTAGCCATACCATATCCTCCATTGAAGATTAGGAAAATAGATGACAGAAGAATAATAAAATGATGGAAAAGTTACAAATACTTAAGTTTAAGCAGGCAATTCGCTAGATCCTTGTTTAAACGAAATGTATTTTTAGTTTTATTTAGTTTCCTTTTTGCTGCGGTAGAGTGAACAAGCTTAGAAAAATACACATTGCATGATCGACATCACTGGCTTTCTAATCTCATCTTCTTCGTCTTGATCCGTTCTGTCACTCCAAAGTTATGGAGTTTCTAAGCCTTGATTTGTCTAGAATTGCTGGCGGAGATGATGGTAAGCACCAGCAAGCAAAGGACTGTCAGATAAGAGAGTATCAATGAAGCGGTCACCTTGTGGCAGAATTTGTTTAAACGATCGCAGATTTGAAACCAACCAGCGTGGCTGTTACCGTAGCGGCCTACGTACCCGATTGCAGTCCCAGCCGCCACACCGGAAAGCACCAGCGACATCATAAACTGCAATAGCCCGGAACCGGAATATGATCAATTCAATATCAAACATCTTGGCTGAACAAAAAGCTGTTGCTTTTATGTATAAAATTAACCAACATTACCAAATCGTGTAGGAACAATAAGAATTTGTTAGTAGGAGTCAAGCCATGGCGACCAAAGAAGAACACAAAGAATATGGAGAGCAAAGTGAAGCCACATGCCAAGGCATTTGCAAAGGCGAAGAACCTGAAAAGTAGAGGATTTAGCACTAGGCATTTTCAAGTAGTACAAGAAAAGAACGAGCTCTGAAATTTTCTGTTTTCTTACTTGAAAGCAGAAGAGTAGCTATATCGAGCGTGCAATGACAAACCAAAAACCACAACAGTTTCCTTGGAAGTGACTATCATCCATGTGGCAGCCAATGCAGTCCCAACCGCCACAACTCTCAAGCAGATTTGTGCACCTAGGGCAAGTTTGCGTGTTATGAGAGGTGGGTTTTCTGGAAACTTGGCTTCAATGCTTTCCATTGGGAGGGAAGCTATTTCTTGAAAGAAATCGAACAATGCAAAAGCAAACACTAGACGTAACGGATGAGAGTGAAGCTAAGGAGGGTATTTATAGAAGAAAGGAAGTGAGTGATCAAAGGCATCGGTGTCCAAAAGGCATGTTTTAATGTTATCAATATCTGCTCCACATGTATAAGAAAGAATTCATCAAAATAATTATCAATTATTACATTAAATATAAAAATATTACTATAAAAAATAATAATTTAATTATCTTTAAAGAGGCATTTTTTTATGGGTATATAAATGTAAAACCTCTCAACTTAATTCTGTAACAAAAACAAATGGAAAAATTCCTTGATATTTGTTTCATATTCATGGAGACACTGGACATAATATGTGGAGCTCAGCATGTCTAAATGCACACAAGAACGTTCTTTTGCTGATATTATTACTAGTATTCAATATTGAGTCGTTCATAATATTACTATACCTTCTTTGGATTCATTAGTATAGGCCACTAGCTGATTTGACTCTCAAAAATTTTCATAGAAATAGCCTAAACATTGGGGTAGTGAGTGAACTATGTCATTAAGTATTAGTGACCGATATAGTAAAGAAGTAAAAATAATAAAACTTCGTGATTTTGAAACATTTGAGCAGCAATTTAAGCGGTTTTATGGATCAATTAACAAGGACAATGTTGGTGGCCTTCTACAAGGAACTTTACACACTTGGCATTGTTCTTGATTCATTTCTGTTTTGTTTTATCCTCTGGACATCATAATTCAAAGACAAAGATGAATAATAGAAGGTTTGACTTTGGATTTCAGTAGCTGATATTCCCAAATACTACAATCTTTCTCTTGAGATCCAAACAAATTTCTTAAATGGTTTGCTATTATAAATGTTTAGTGCTGAAAAGGAGGTCTAATTGCAGGGATCTGCTTTTCTTTTTCTGAAGTTGTGGAATGGAAGAAGTATTTGCCAAGAAGAAAAAGATTCAGAAATTTCCATTCCTATACATAGAAAATTTTGTTTAATTTTAACAATTCTTTATAGTCGCCAACTGCCGCATAATCTTTTGATAAAGTATTGAATTTTTAGTTTCAGTTATCAAATGTGATGCTTGATTTTTATGTTTAAAAATGTATAACTTTCCATGCCTCATCGAGATCAATCCACATGATGATATACGAACATGTTTTAAATGTTTTTCATTCATTTGAAAAAGAACAATAAAATTGAAAACCTAAAAATTCGTTCTTCAACAGAAAAGATGATATCTTCTTTTCTACTTTGATTTTACTTGCTTCCATTAAAATGGTAGGCATGCATATGTCATCAATCTTCACCCTTTAAATCACTCTGCACATGCATGCCCCATATCCAAAGTTGCCAGATTTCAATTGTTTAAAGTATCCCAAAGAAATTGCTCAAAAATTCGTGCAAATTTCACCGAACTTTTCCAACATTTTCAGTAACAAAAAGTAGTATTTGCTTTTTGCAGAAAGAAGATTGACACGACACGTTTCAAAAAGACCAGGAAACAAAATGGTAAAAGAGATTGAGAAGGTTTAGCCATGCACTTTCATCATGTTCTCCTTTGTAACATAAGAACACGTTCTTATGTAAGTAGTACGTAGTAGGACACCTTTGTCAAGCCATGTCTGTCATGTAGCCATTTCTTGACGCATGCAAATGCAATCACGTTCAATTGGCACCAATCCTATAGTTTCTATAGGAATCACTTTTGCTATCATGCATAACCATTTTTTTCTATAAAATAGGCCGCAGCTTGAGGATAAAAAATTACATGTGTTAAAATTTGAATTTCAGATTTATTGACATCACAAAATTTACACAAAATTTTCATTGTTGTTATACTTTTCAGTTGTCATGTGGATAATTAACCAGGTTCGGCCATTTTCAAATCTTCTAAAGGATCAATGATACTCGAGAATTTAGTTCAATAGGTGCATATGTATTCTTTTCTTCAGAGAGTCGGTTTAAATCCTTCTCCTAATTGAAAAAAAAATGGTTGGGTTTTTTTGTGGTGGAATCTTTTCCCCAGGAGCAAAACGAAGAACTAGGATTAAATGTGGTAGGTGATAAAGCTCCAAAAGTTACATGTCAATAATAATGTTGTTGAATGGACCTAACCATAACCCTGAATGTTAACAGACATAGGACAATGATGAGGGAAAAGGGAAGTTGAAAATGAAAAAGAAATGTTAGCAGTGTCTTTATTCAATATCGAACAGTTCCATGGACCATAAGACAATAGTTGAGCCACAAGAATCTGCTCATCCAGAAAAAAAAGTACCAAGGAGGGAACCCTTGATGGGTTCTCCCTTTTGGAGTGCTGCAGAAGAATTAATTGATTCCAACAGACTATGGATTTCAGCCAAGTTTCTTTTGGCCAACAAACTGAAATTTCGTAGACCCCACGTAGAGTAAATGTAAAGTTCTGTTACGAAGAGACATTTGTTACTGGTAGGTGTAAATGGTGGACGGGAATTCCTTTTCCCAGAGGTAAGGGGCAAACCAGTTCTGACAGAATCCATCATCTCTGTGGCTACTTTTCAACTCCATGCATGGGGATGGGGTCATGGAGGAACCTTCTATCTGTGGGACAAGCCAAGGAAAAAAACTCACCAGACTCGTTAATTTTGCATTGGTCTTCTCTGAAAGTCGTTTTGGAACCATTCATGTTTGGCCAAACCATGGTTGTTTTTCTTGAAAGGATTGAGTAGTAAGATTCAATCACCAATCACCAATTCCCATTTACCTCTCCCTAGCTATATGCACAAAAAAGAAAAAAAGAGGGTCGTTTTCGTTTCAAACACCTGTTCCTGAAAAGTGAAAACTAATGAATTTGGTTGCCAAATGGTAAGAATCAGCATGAACTTGAATTGGCCAAAGCTGATATGTTGCTGCTAGTAGGAACCATGGGCCGTTTCTGTCAAGAATAGACAAAGTCATCTGTGAAATCATGAAGCTCTTTCTTTGTTTCTTTCTCGCATTATCACAAGTAGAAATGATGTTCTTTTGAAGGGATATATATTACCCTTGGCAGTAGTCAGTGAGAGAAACTGCATTTACAGTTACAGATATGAACAGAAATGTTAAACCGGCACATTTGGGAAGAGAATCTATGGGGCATTTTAGCTACTGGTGTCTGAAGTACTTTGGATTTGATTAGGGAAGGTAAGAGTAGAATTTGACCTAGAGATCTCATCAGCCATCACCAAATTCATGTTCAAAACAGAAATATAGAGCACTAGGATCGATTCCTCAACTAGATCTCGTTATAGCAACAGAAATTGATGTTTTCACAAAACCTATATGTACCTACAACTTCAAGAAATAAGGGAATGTCTTTTATTGAGTGTGGGAGGCAAAGTGTAACATGTTTATCATTCATCCATGATGTCTGTTGGTGTCGAACTCGCAATTGAGGGTTAAAATCTTAAAATAATATTAAAGAAAAAGAGTGATTAAACAAAGGGTGTGTTTCCTGTAGATTAAAATAAATAGGTAGAATAATATTGTAACGAAATTAATATGATATTATATATGTTAGATTAATAAAAAATTTAAAAATATTTTTAATTGTCTGTTTGATCGTCTTTAACGAGAGAAATGACTCATTAACCTTTTGGATCCAAAAATATTTCTTTCAATGTCAAATGGGTTCAAGATTTTCATCCTATACTGAGATTTTGGGGAGACTTTTTTTTTTTTTAATAAATTATGGTTTGTAATCTCAATTTTTCAACCCAAACATTAACCAATTTGAACCTTAATTGATATCAAGTTGTATTCTTAGTTTTGCTATCCCAATTTGCCAAATTCATCAAGGCCTTATTCTTGCTTTTTGTGTATTGTTTGCAAACTCTCCTTTATAAAACATTTTTATTTTATTTATTTTTTTACAGAAATAAAAAACAAAAATATCTACTAAAAACAAGACCTAATTTTGGTGTTTCATTGTTTACTTTCCTACAACTACAAATTAAAAATAAATTTTCTTGCTGCTGGCAATGGAAACAAACTATAATTTGCTTTTAATAAAGTCGTTAGTTATTTTTTTTTATTTATTATTGATAGATAAAGAAATTTTGAGTCTCACTTTGTACATGTTTTTTTCAATAATTCAAATGGATTTATTTATATTAAATTTAATAAATTCATAAAAATATTTTTTATAATCTTTCTATGAATTTAAAATAATAAAAAAATCCTCTTTGCAAAGAAAAAAAAAATTATTTTGCTACATAAATCAGTAGCTAAAAATTTTCTTTTAATTTGATAATATAAAATATGATATAATGACACGATATAAATATAATATAAAAAAATATAAAAATGATATGATTTAAAATTTTAACAATAATTATATATGAATCTAACAAAATTAAAAAAATATATTTTATATATTTATATCGATACAAATTATAATATATAATTTTTTATATAAAATACGATATAAATATATAAAATTTAATATTTTATACAATATTAATACAGGAATATTCGGATATATATTTTTTATTATTTTAGAGGCAGCTGGCAACACGATAAAAATCATAATAATAAAAAATTCTTAGTAAAAGGATTAAGGAAAATAATTGTCCAATTAGGAGGATAAATTATTCTTGGACTAAAACAGTAAAGAGTTGGGAGAAACACTTTAATTATTCTTGGGCTCTTCCCAATTTGTTGACCTTTTGTTGTTTTTTTGTCTCTCATTACTGGGTTAAGAGTTTGATCGAGGAGGAGGGTTTGAGAAGATGATAGACTTTGCTCGGGTGCAAAAGGAGCTTCAAGAATGTAGCAGAGAAAAAGACTCTTCGGGCATTAGGGTCTCTCCAAAATCAGACAATCTTGCTCGCTTGACTGGCTTCATCCCCGGCCCCCTTGGCACTCCCTATGAAGGAGGCTCCTTTGAAATCGATATCACATTGCCTGGTAATTCGCAATTCAAAATCATTTGACTGGTTCAAATTTCTTGTTTTTCTTTGCATTAACTTTCATGGGTTTGTTTTGGTTTCTGCTTAGATATCTCTTTTTTGGTTTAAAAGTGACATCTTTTTTTTTCTTTAAAAATTGGGCTGAGGGTAAGGGGTTTTTTAATGGGTAAGTTTTTCTTGTTCAAATTTTCAGAAAAAAAGATGAAATTTTTATCCAGGTTTAGGTTTTCTTGTGAGTTTGTAGTTATAAAGTTGGGACCTTGAGCTTGTTTATAAAGTGATAAAGGATTGTTCTTTTGACTGTAATGTAGGTAAATACTATCAATTGGCTGGTAGTTTAAGGAAATTTAGCCGTGTTTGAAATGGAATGGATCATTGCTTACTGATATTTGTTGGTGACTGATTTCAATTTGCAGATGGGTATCCGTTTGAGCCGCCCAAAATGAAGTTTGTGACCAAAGTTTGGTAGGAAAAATATGCATCATCTTGTTTTGTCTTCATATTTTTTTATCATTTGCTAATTGCGCAGGATAGTTGAATTGGTTTTCTGGTAATGTAGTACATTGTCGGTGTGATTGATGGGCCAATAAAGGCTATACTTAACAAAGGCCTAAGGAGAGTGCAGAAGACTTGGTTAATTGCTTTTATGCATGTTGTGGTCGTAATCCTAGTTTCTGCGGTTCATTCCTTTTATAAGTTGGTTGGATGAAACAATCCACAATCTTGCACATTTGTTTATCCTTTTGTGCTGATGAAATAATTTAATTAACCTTAACTTGTGTATGTAATCCTGAGGATGCACAATTGTTTGTTCCGCTCTTTTTCTCACTTATTGCATAGCTGAAACAGTGTGAGTCCTTTTCGAAATTTGTGGTCTTGGTTTGTAGCAATAGTTAGGTTTGCATTAAAGTTATTTCCTTTCTTTTTTTTTTCCCCTTATTTCTGAGCAAATACCCTAAATAACATGTATAAATAATTTCCTCTCTTTTTCTGCCTGATAGATATGCAGCACTATGTATAAACATTCTTGTTGTTTGAGGATGTTGAAAGGAAAAAAGAAAAGCAAAATGTATCATGTTGCCAATTGCATGCCTTTGAAACTACTTTGAGTTAGTACGAATGGCTTTGTGTACCCCTTGAATATCTTTTGCATTTGAATTTCAGATGCAGAACTTTGTTGAGTGTGATACCATAAGCAAGATGATAAGTGTAAGATTTGGTGGTCTTTTTCTGGAGTCCTTGCATTGATTAAGTTTTATGCTTGAGTTTATCTTAGGGGTCAATTATTGGCAAGTTATACCTATTGTGCTTTATGCATGAGCATAACATGACAAATAATCAAGTAAGTTCTGATGGTGATCAACTTTTCGAACTTCCTTGTGTTCTATTACCCACCGAAGGCACCCAAACATTAGCAGTCAAAGTGGGGCGATATGCCTGGATATATTGAAGGACCAGTGGAGCCCTGCACTAACTCTTAAGACAGCTCTTCTTTCTGTCCAAGCTTTGCTTTCTGCTCCTGAACCTGATGATCCTCAAGATGCTGTAGTAGCTCAACAGGTTTGGTTTGCTCGATGTCTTTTCCAATGTTTCTTAACCAAAAATTTCTTTCTTTTATTGGCCTTACATGAATGTGCAAGAGTTTGTAGATTAAACCTATATGCTGTCAGTCCAGCTTGAATGCCTCATTTTAAATCATTTCCATTAAAGTTTTTATCACTCTAGCCATTGACCTTTTTTCCCCTACTCTAATGCAGTATCTGAGAGAGTATCAGACATTTGTTGGTACGGCCCGTTACTGGACAGAAAGTTTTGCCAAGGCCTCTTCTTTAGGGGTTGAGGAAAAGGTTTGTATTCTTTATGCATCTAGTCATCTAGATATTCATAGAAGCAAGTAAATTCTTTCATGCGAGGTGGCATCCCTTTTAACAATAGACATTTACATTGTAGTAGATACATTCTTTGAATTGCTTTTGGTAATGGGCTAATTTTTGACAATTTTTTTTAATGAGCTAAATTTGCTAAGCCAGAATCGGATTGGTACAGGTGCAACGACTTGTGGAAATGGGTTTTTCCGATGGTTTGGTGAGAAGTACTCTAGAAGCTGTTGGCGGTGATGAAAACCTGGCTCTTGAAAAGCTTTTATCCAGCTGATCTGTGCTGGAGCTGCCACTTGCTCTACTTCTTTAAGTTAATTTTCACCTACCTGGTGAATCTGAACACTATACAATGGCACAAAGAATTATATCTGAATATAAGCATTTTCATTTACTCTTAAGTTATGCTGGCTTTCTTGAAGATTATTTGTATGCTAAGACCTTTTGATTAATTAATTACTGAATCTTGGAAATAGGTAAATTCCAATGCTGATTGAAGTTCAATCAGAAACTTTTCTCCTAGTCTTTCCATGATTATCTTTAATCTAAAAACTGAGTCGGGAAATTCTGTGGGATTACCAAGTTTCCCAAATCAGTTGTATTTTGTTTTGTTTTTCAAGGTAGGTCCAAAAAGACGACGTTGCTTTGGACCTTAAGGAGGAAGTGAGAGACAGAAAGAGGGAAGGAAAGGGAGAGAGAAGAGAACTCAGGGAGTCTGGGAGGCAGAGAGAGGAGGGAATGGCTGCGTGCTGTTTCTTCCACCAGCACTCTCTCCACTGGCACCAAACCGCCATTTGCCATCTTTGGTTTTGCCCCAAAACTCTGAGGAATTTTGTGAGGAAGGGAGAGGGAGAGAACAGAGTCAAAATATTAGAGAGGGAAGATAGAAGTCTGGCATGGGAGAAGGAGAGGCCTTGAAAAACACTGGTAAATTAAAATAATTCAAAGGGATTCAAAACCCCTTTCAACTTTTATTATGTAGTGTTAATCTGTAGAATTGAGGTTGAAGGGTACGTGAACCTGCCATTTTATGCAAAATGCAAGGAAAATGTGCAGTTTGACTGATATTGCACTCTTATACCGTTCAGGTTCCAACAGCTAAAATTGCATGCGTTAGCTCATCCTAGCTTCAAATGTGATTTTGCTTAATCACCCTGAAGCAATGTTGTCCATAGCAGCCCCTGTTTGTGGACTTCGCGAGGTGGTTGTGATCACACTGCATACTGCATAACAAGCTGTTGAATGGGATGTACAGCATACAGACATGTGAAAGTGAAAGAACCTTGCTTGATATGCCTATCCTGGACGCCGACGCTTTTCTTCTCAATGGGAATTTGATGAAGATGTAATGACAGCCTATTATGGTTTACATTCTTGACTTAGAAGGTATCTTAATGACCTGGAATCAAAAGATAGAAAGGCTATAGCCATGGTGTCCTCCATATTTAAGGCATACTTGGGTACTTTTCAAAACTTAATAAAAGCAAGGGGTGTTTGGAAGAGAAAGTCATATGGAAGGCCGGGATTTTTGCAACCCAGCAAAAGGCTCAACTGCTGGACTCGTCTATCACGGGAAAGGAGGCAGATGCAAAAGAAAAGAAGATAACCATGGAAGGATCAAGCAATAACAGTCCCACCAAGGAAGAAAGAGACAGGTTATATAGAAAGACTAACAGGCGAGAAAGAGATATGGGAAATGGTCGCCACAAAAGCTGCATTTCAGTAAGTCACTGCCCCCATGACAAGGAAGCCTATGAATCTTTGTCAAAGACCAGACAGTTAAGAGGCCAATAATGTACCCCCATCAATATTTTCGAACACGCCATAAGCTCAGAAAACAACAGTTGAACAACGAAAGGAGATTTTTATATACGGTTCAGGAACCTTGATGGGTGCTATAATATTGACCACAAATTAGGATATGAATCTCATTGCTCTGAAAGACATTTTCGTGTTCATGATTCACGAATGTTCATGAATATTGGGATGCTGCTAAACCACTTCAAAGGCTTGTGAGCTTGAGAATTTGAGCATTCGGTTAGTTGGCATGGCACCCAAAAAGGAACTTTAATTTGAACCAACAGATACTGCACTTAAAATCTTTGTTCATTTACAACCCTACCGGATTCCTAATCTGCAAATATTTGACGCCTGAAGCAAATCTGAATCTTACTTTTAGGCACAACCATCAATGTAATACACAACCAAGTCTAAAGATGATAGGAATTTATTGTAGTAGGATCTTTCACCTGGCCATTACAATGCTTACATCTTGGCACTTGAATCCTTCTTACAAGTGGACCATTGTCCTTTAGCTGAACATTGCGTATTGAACTATTTATATAGTGGTTGACATTGAATAAGAGAGGAAAAAAAAAAAACACAAAAGAAGAGAAGAAGAAACAATTGGCTGAAAGTTGCTAATGGGGTTTCAAAGACTTCAATAACAGTGGTAGACAGCGACTCTCCTTCTGGGATAGGGTTGACAAATGACAAAGAGCACCATTGCCATGACCAAAGCCAGCATCAAACCCAGCAGCAGAAACTCATCCCAATCCGAACAGCACCTTCCCATGTCAACTACTTTTGTCTTCCAATATTGACTAGAAAATTCTCTAACTCAAGCAATGATAAAACGAGGTTTAAGACAAGACCAATTGAGAATATATAGAAATGAAATGAAAATGAAGTGATCGAATAAATTAAATTGAGATGGCCGTGAAAAAAAAAAAAGGAGAAAAATGAATCATGGACTTCTATCTACCACATTGATAGCAGCCAATGGTTGCTCTTTCACTCTTGGGTTCATTTGGATGCTTGTGGCTTTGTCCTTTATCTTCCTCTAAACCTGAGGACAGGAGTCAATGGCGACAAAAATGGGCGTAAATTAGGCCATTAGTAGCCACATGACAAGCATAATTACCCTACCAAAGCTCAGAAAAACAGCCCCAGCTTGCGGACCATTAAGCGAAAAGTGGCCGTGGGTAAACGAGCAAGCATTCCTATGTGTTTCTCACTGTCACTTCAGTCTTCACAAACCAAGGAAAGATTAGTCAATAGCCATAACTCCTCTTGCTGGCTCAAGCTCCCTATGAAATGGTCCACTTTAATAAGAAGGATTAACACAGAAATGAACTCACTATGCCTTGATTTTGCCTTGTAATTTAATATTTTCAATGGTGGAGGTCGCCAAATTCTTCAGTTTACACCCACCATTTCTGACATGTCCCGGATTTCAGACTGGTTTCCTTTCTCACGTAACTCTTATTTTTTGCCAAGTGACGTCCATATGCATGGGGAGAGGTAGGGGTGTAATCGAGTCGAGTCGAGCCGATACAATGATAAGCTCGAGCTCGAGCTCGAGCTCGACTTTAAACTTGCTGCTCGATACTTGGCTTGAATTCGATCGAATTTCATTTTCCTAGCTCGAGTTCGATTCATGATCGAAATTGAACTATTCGAGCTTGCTCGATTAAGCTCGATTAATATATAAAAAAAAGCTCGATTTTTATACTCGAAAAAAAACTCGATTATTCAAGCTCGAGCTCGAGATCTTTTACAACTAATTTTTATCAAACCTAATAAATATTATATTTTCAAAATAACAACAACAACAATAACAACAACAATAACAATAACAACAATAATAATAATAACTTACACAACAACCAAATTTAAGCAAATAAAAGTCTCATTAAATGATTCAAATATAACACACAAATATAAGACATAATGAACTTAGAAATTAAAATCCTAATTGAAAGATATTAAATATCCAAGCAAATAAGTTCACAAATAAGTTACAACAAACCAACAACAATACATATGTTGCCTTCACAATATTATGTCTTCAAATGAACATTAGGCTCATATTGCTTTTCAATAAATCTACACAAAAGAATAATTACAAAACAAAGAAATTATAATTAACAATAAGAATAACGATAAAAGTATCCATGCAAGAAAAAGATTGTAATATTATTACAATGATCAATAACTTTAAAATTTTTAACATTAGCATCAACATAGATTTTATCTTGTCAGTTGTCTTATAATCAATGCAAAAAAATATAAACAGTATCTTGTCAATTACCTTAACATGAGTTTCTATCATTAGTTAACCTATGGTTCGTAAATTATAATGCAAAAAGCTCAATCCAGACTAGTTACTACCTATTTTTCTTTAGTAATGTTGTGACAAATTAAAAGTATTTAATAATAATATTTCATACCTGTATAGAAGACATTAGATATCCTCACTTTAGGGGATTTTGAGTGCAATCTCAATTGATTTCTTCTCTTTTTACATAGATAAAGTAAAAAAAAATAATAGTTAAAAATTAGATTAAAGCAATGATAGTCACCTAATAACAAAATAATAATTAAAAAAAACTCACTTTGTTCTTCTTCTTCACTCCATGAAGATTTTACACCAATCTCTTCCACAAAGTAATGCTTGCACTGTGTCAGGAGATAAAGAAGCACGATAAGTATCAATAACTCTACCTCCTGCACTAAAGGTAGCTTCTGAAGCCACTGTAGTGATAGGAATAGCAAGTATATCCCGAGCTATCTTAGATAAAATACGATACTTCAAAGTGCTCGCTTTCCACCATTTCAAAGCATGAAACTTAGTGGAATCTCTTTCACAGATAAAACAGCCTTCAGCTAGGTAGACATCTAAATCAGATTGTTGTGGTTGAGCAGTTTCAACTGATTTTACATAATTTGCAAATTCAAACCAACCAGAAGAAGAAGCTTCTATATTCATACCACTAATACCATTATCATGCACTTGAGTTTCAGCACTATGCTCATTGTCAAATTGATACTCACGAGCATATTCATCATAAATCTTATAAAGGGCATCTCGAACTTTAGCAATATTTTCTCTTGCTTCTCTATCAGGGTACATTCGAGGAAAGCAAAACTCAATCACCCTCATTTTGCACATTAGATCCAAGATTGCTGCTATAGATATCAACAAATTACATTCTCCCCAATACTTATCAAATTTACTCTTCATCTTACGAACCATTGCTTGAACAAATTCATTTTCATCATTGATCCTTTTATCCAACAACACTTTAACACGATAAACTTCATTCAGAAACAGGTTTGAAGTTGGATAATCACTTCCAGAGATGATTTTAGTGGCTGAATTAAAAACTTTTAAAATCTCACAAACTTTCTCAACTTTTTCCCAATCTTCATGACTTGGACAACATTCATAATGAGATTCTCACTTTTTGAGTCTCGAAAACACTTCTTTGAATTTGTTTGCAATTGACAACATCTCGAATGTCGAATTCCAACGTGTTTTACAATCGAGAATGAGTTTTCTATCAGGTAACTGTAACTGTTGTACTATGTCAGAAAATGAGTTAAGTCTTGCCTCATTTTGATTAATAAAATTGACACTTTCATGAACATCACCAATCACATTCTTAATCTCAGAAAGGCCATCTTGAACCATGAGATTTAAAATATGTGCACAACACCGAACATGAAATAATTTTTCTCCACAAAGTAACATTCTATTTCTTGAAAAAGTGTCTTTAAGAATTCTAATCACCACATCATTGCTTGAAGCATTGTCCACAGAAAGTGTAAACACCTTGTTTTCAATTCTTCATTCCTTTAGACACTTAAAAATACAATCAGCAATCTCAACACCGCGATGAGGAGGAGGTAT